CCTCAGGATCTTGTTCAAAATTGTTGACAACCAGCTGTGTCAACATACCCCGCAGGATCTTGTTCAAAATTGTCAACTAGATAGCCGAAACTATCCATTATTCAGGCGGCATGGTCGTTCTGTGGCAACCACTGTTTTCACTTGTTTTTCTCACAGGTCCTGTCAGACGGAGCTGATACGGAGACTCCAAACTGGGCCCTCGTTCATCCCAAAGGATGTCCGATTCGACAGCCTCCCCCAGCAATTCAGCTCCCAGCTCCAGTTGGACCGGCCCCACAGGAGGAGTGCCGAGAGCCCCTCCCCACCCCCTGCCCCAGACAAAAACCCCCTGGTCAGTGCCATCACCTCCAGCCTTATCACCGGCGATGCCCTGCTAGGTGCTGGCCAACCGACTGCCTCATTGAGCACTGGCACTTCACTGGCTGGATCGGCTGCCACTGTGCATTTACCTGCCACAAGCCAGGAGGGGGAGGAGCTGGCCAAGCTCACCATGAAGGACCTACTGAGCATGCTCAGTCAGGGCTCGCATCAGCTTGGACGGGCAGTCGCCATGGCAACCAACAACATAGACCAACTTATCGATGGGCAGACAGTGAATTTCTCTCCCAACTCAAGTGGAAACTCTCTCCCATAAAAAAGGGAGCATTTCATAATTGTGAACGGTCGGAACGTTCCCATTGAAATGCTGTGTTCTCATTCCGGAACGGTCGGCCGTTCCCAGAGTTTGAGGCAGTGACATTTGAATGTGTATTTATAAGAGATATTCCAAATAAGACTTTCGTGAGTTAAATTTGAATAGAATCTCGTACATGGAGTTTTTAAATTCACATGAACATAATAATTTGAATTCTCTGTACGAAAGACAATGTTGCCATGCCTCGTGATTTGGGGCAAACTTTTGCTTAGTTAGATAAGAGGTACCTCGCAGTAATTCACTGTCTTCAATGGATATGAAGGGCACAAAGGAACCAGTCCATTCCAGAGATGGTGGTCACAGCAACAGTGTCTTTATTTGTTCGTTGGCTATACCTTCGCAAATTAATTGCTTGTCACTTGGACTTTGAAGGTTTCTCTGGCTCGTGTTTCTTATCTAGGTGCTGGTATTGTCGTACCCTAATTTGCTGAAATGCTTGTCTATCGGATATCTCCTTTATGATGTCGACCCGCTCAAGTCCTGGTTGTAGGGATTGGACTTTCGTCCGTATGCTTGGTGCGTTTTTACGTGCTGGCTGAATTAATAAGGCTTGCTTTGTTGGGTGTGAGACATCGCGTCTGACCTGATGCGAGATGCACTTGAGAAAACTGACGTGGATGAAATCCTTGAGTGGTACTGTGCCAAAAGATACATCCAGATCATCATTTGTGTACTTAAGTGTCATAGTATCCTCACCAGAATCAGCTATTTTTCGGCTAAAACCATCAGGCGTCACTTGGTACAAACAATTGTCCTAAAATGACGTCAATTTTGCTATCTTTAGTCTGGAGGACTTAATGATTATGTTTATGTGCAGTCAGATAACTCAGTGTACCAGACTTATAGGTTCCCGTATTGCAATGTGCGTGTACGCGCTTAGGATGCCGTTTACCAGCGACGAGGCAACCAAAATTCTTTACGTAGGGAAGTGATTTTAACGTACATTTCAACGTCGCAGATTCAGACACAGTGGTCTGACCCAGTGACAAAATGAATCATTTTGAACTTGTTACACATTGGCCTTTTATTTGCGTATATTGGTTTTTTGAAGAACACCCCGGTTCTCTGTTTCTGAGGTCTTTTCGTCGTCCACATTGCACGCAAGTACGTTGACCAAGTCACAGAAAATTTCAGCGTTAACAGTTCCTAGAGGCAACTATCGATCTATTTTTATGATTTCTGAGTGGAAAAATTAGTTTTACAGTCCTGCATCATTAAGACATATAATTCTTTGAGTTAATCTGTTTTTCATCGAGAATTATTTCTGCACGGAATTCCGTGCTTGGGGAGCGCCATCTTGTGTGACGTCACACGCATGAGTGGAGTTAGAAAACAAGGAATAAATGAATATCGGTACTTATTTTACGCTAGTGTGGGTGGAACGGCCGTGCAAAAGGCTTGTTAGGACGACAAAAGGTGCCATGCAGCCTGCCCTTGAAAGCAACTGGGATGAATGAAAGAAACTTGGCCTCTGTAACGTGAGATGTGCGTTACTCAGGAGAACAGACCTTGGTCCTTTTTTCACCTGATCGGACTGCCCACCGCTACTTGTAAGTGAGGCCTATGCAGCAAAATAGCCTGCAAGAACTGTGATGCTAATGCATTTTTGTATGATACAATACATTAGCCCTAACTCCCGAGGATGTGTACAAAATCATATTAAAATTGGAGGATTCAGGGCTGTTACGGTTAAGCAAACTTGTAAGTGAGGCTAGTTAGCGTCACAAAAATTTGCAAGCAGAAGGCTCGAACAAGCCTTACTTATAGGTTTGCCTACTGTATTGCAACTTACGATAATGTATTAGCATCACTGTTAGAGCATGGCTATTTTGCTGCACAGGCCTCACTTATAAGAAGCGGTGGGTAGCCGGATCGGGTGCTTTTTTTTGCTGCTATATGGGTCAATCCATGAGGTTTGGGGTACAATTTGTGACGGTGTCTTTGTTACATGGGTAACTTTTACCACCTGTCATGACCTGTAGAGTAGATCATTTACTCTGTAAAAATAACATGCACCTTTGTATTCAGCCTTGCAAGATGTATAACAATGTCAATTTGGAATGGCTTTAGAGGGAAATAACTGTTCATTTTTACGGAACCCACGTAACAATGGACACCGTCACAAAGTGTGCTCCAACCTCATGGAATGACTCATAAGCAAACGGTGAACTATCGTTGAGCCTCTGTCCAAAGAGATTACTTTATGTCCTAAATGCAGTGATGAAAATTGTCATTAACTTGCAGAGTTAGCTTTAAGATGTGAAAAATGGTGAAGGTCGTCACAATTAATTTTTGCTACAGTTTTCATTATTCTGAATTGGACATCGTCCATGCACCCCAAATACAGTATCTGCCTGCAATGAATTGTTCATAAGACTAGCACTTTTTAAATCCTGTTACTGCTAGCACTTTTCTCCAATAGACGTCTCTGTGCACGTGCAGCTAGGCTTGCTCCTGTGTACTCCTCAACCACATTCTGTATCTTGATTGGCCGAGTGCCAGTCACGTGGGACTCGTTTTATCTATCTTTATGTGCACAGCCAAAAGAACTATACCCGTAGTGCGGAAGAACTTCACGTACGATCATCGGCATTGTGTGCAAATGAACCCCGATGTGCGTGTTTCGTACTACGCGAATCCCAAAACGTTCGTGCCATGGAGCATGTTTAACCATTTTGCAGAGAGGACGTTGAGAAAAGTGCTGGTAAACTAAAATAAATGTCTTATTCAAATAGACGTATTTTGTATGTAGTTAAACCCAATTAATCAGTCATAGCTTAAATTAAGCTATGCGGGAGAGGTGTTATAAAACATCAACTGCTTTAGCTCGTAATGTAGTAATCATCATCATTTATCTGTTTTTTAATATCATTTTCCGATATTATCTGACAGTATTGAATTTCTTCTGCGTGTATGTCATCAACTTTTATTTATTATCCTGTAAGCTTTGAAATCTTCGACGGATCATTGCAGACTTAGGCTAAAACAGTTACCTTTGGCACAACTGTTATGTAATATAAAACCATTTCCGAGGCTGACGCACGATACCAAACTCTTGTCTTGCATAGAACTATTTTTGTATTTTTACACCTGCAGCATGTTACTTTTTTAGCATTGTTGTTTATACCTAAATATTTGCAATTGGGATATGTTGTGTCCAAATTTATTTTTAATGAATGTGTAAAGTACGTTTGTATTCATTTTTTAGAAAAGTTATTTATTTGCAGTGGGTATAAAAAAATTCACATGGCAATTGTTCTATTTCTATTCTGACGTGTGAATTTTTACGAACTGAAATTGTTCCAAACGGACCTCAAAAAAGGTTTGGTTAAATCTTATAAAATAAGATGCGCCAGAACTGTAGAGGATCCAGAATTGCTGCATTCATTGTAGGCCTATGCTTCAAATTTATATTTATTGAGTGCGAGTAAAGCAGGTGCGGGTATTGGGGTCAACTGACAAAAATCATCGACACTGATGTCTTGGACCAAAACTATGGTGGTGCAAGCATATACATGTAGAATAATCAAATAAACATTAGAGAAGTTTAGTGGCCCCAGACAGTGCATTCAAGCTTCCACTAGGTGAGCATTCAAGTTGTGCGTTATCTTCCCTATGTGCAGTGGGCGTGGCGTGGTTGGAACTGAACTGACGTCACACGATCGAGTCGGATGGCCCAGTCCGCTGTGGCACAACCTTGAACATAAACTTGTGCACCCTGAGCGCTTTTTGGGGTGTACATTCCGGTCAGAGCCCCCGCCCCACCACGACGAAAATTCCTGGGTGTGCCAATGAGTACACTCAAAACAGTAATATTGTGTACGTTGCTTTGAAGATGAATACACTGTAAAAACTCGGGTGTTAAACTCAACACTGTTGGGTGTTATCAGATGACCACACCATAGGGTGTTACTTTAATACTGATGATGTTACCTTGCACACCTATAAGTGTTACAGTGCTCTAGAAGGTGTTACAAGTAACACCAAATAACACCAAAATTTTAACACTAGTGAAAAGTGTTGGCGTAGTCTTCTGACAACACCGCGGGTGTTAAGTTTAACACCCCAGTTTTTGCAGTGTAAGCCTACCTAAAGATATCTTTTCCCGATAAGTTTGGACTAGCTGTAAACTGAATGAAGCACCTACATGTTCAAATTAAAAGCCAGTGGCGGATCAAGGAATGTCGGGGATCAAGGAGTTTTTTTGGGGGGGGCGGGCAGGTCTGTCAGAAAAGCGGACACATTTTTGCACTTGGCCGTTGTACACTTGGCCAGGGGCGTAACTACGGGGGATCACCCTGCGGTTGCCCGTAGGACCCCGGGTGACCCTAATATTTGAAATCTCCGTTGAGTTTACATTGATATGTAGCTTATTTTCTCGTGGTGCCCCTTTGAAAAAAAATGTTTGCACCCCCGGGTGCCCCCTGGGACATTTAGCCCCAGTTTTGACACTGCACTCAGGTAGTCTCGTATTACATGTTTAACCGTTACGTACATGTACACATACATTGTAATAATCCTTTAATACAGGATTTCACTCTATCATATTGCACGTTATATTGCGAGAGCCCAGAATACGGAAAAGTATGAATTTTAATGCACACAGGCAGTTCTCCAATGGTATGCACTGCATACATGCCATCAGGAGCCACCCCTACATCAGAGTATGTTTCAGTCAAGGCTGTTTTGAGAGTCAAATCGCATTATAAACCGAGCCATAAAATAATGTATTACGCCGTTACCAAAACAAGTGATATGAATACACCTGATTATAATGCTTTAGATGGAATATGTGTTCTTTTATGCTTGTCTGTTACTGCTGTCATGCATGGAAACCATGCCATAAAACAAAGGAAATGAATACGAAGGGAAAAAAAGAGAGAGAAAACGGGTAATATTTCTTATTCCTAAGTGATTACTCTAAGATTGCGCTTACTGAAAACAATTCAAGAGCATGGTTGAAAGTAGTTAAAGTACACACTGCAACATTCATGGAAATGAGTTTACATCATAGTACTGTAAATAGAGCCATTCACAATATTTTTGCATGATGTTCATTTCAATGCCTCAGTTTTACAACCAAGAGCGTTTTGTCTCCTTTCTGTACACAGAAAGGTGTCATTTTCTATAATACTTGAAAGAATTTGCTTACACCATTTTTGGGGAAAACGTGTAGATAGACTTAAGTGTGTTGTAATCTGTTGAGTATTCATTTCATGTATGGTGTATGGACATTTAAGGCGCGGCTGGGATGAGACAGGGAACAATTCATCTTATTCTTATCTGATTTGGTTTAAGGATTTTGATGAACTTTTTGTAGACGCGCTTTTTGTGCGTAGTTATACTCCTCTTCGTCTTCTGAAAACTGTTTAGCACCCCTTTGGGTAAAGTGTATTAAAACATGCACTTTTTAAAAACGTTTAAAACATGTTTGCTTTATCACACACTCACATTGCATCTCCTTAGCGTCTACAAAATACTGCAGCCCGCATGGTTATTAGAGCAAAGCGCAGTGGACATGTATCACACCCACACAGCCTCTGCACGGGCTGCCCATCCCTCACCGTATTCAGTTAAAATTTATTCTTCTCGTTTATAAAATCAGAAATGGACTAGCCCCAGCATACTTCAAGGATCCCATCAGGTCAAAGGTCTCAACCTTATCCCTCAGCCTCCGGTCTCATTCCACTTCACATTTACATCTTGCTCAAGGCACCGCACCAACACCTGTAACGGTCAGCGGCCACTTGCTGTCGCTGCACCTACTCCCTGGAATCGGCTCCCACTACATGTTCAAGACTCACCCACAACAGTCGAATTAAAGACTTAGCTTAAGACACACTTATTCAAAATTTGATAAGCGCTTTAAACGATCTTTATTAAATGATAAAATTTTATTATCTTGTGGAGAACCGGGCTGGTGGAAGGGGGGTGGAGGAAAGGGGGGGGAGCAGGCAACGCAGGTTCACGAGTAGACGTATGTACAACCAGTGTTCAGCTCTCTTCCCTGTATTGGGTTTATTGTATGCAATAGTCAGGCCCGAGACTGGGGCTACCTGCAAAGAGTCGGCAGGCGGTCTTGTAAAATAATCTGTTACACAGTATTCGTAAAAAAAATGGCTACACAATAAATATTAATCTGCAATAACTGATTCGTGCCAAAACAGACATGTACATTTAACTGAATAGGCATGAAGGCAGCGCCGGGTACACGAGTCAGGGACGCAAGCAGTCAGGTCAACCCCGCGCGCTGGCTGACCGACGATCGCACGCCCTGACACCGCACACACACACACCCTCCAAGCCGCCATGCATACTAAACTTCAAGCGAGCAGTCCAAGATGCCAGAGTAACTACACTTAATCCCAAACATGTAAAGGTGTTACAGTTAAATTACCAATGACACAAAAAATCCAAATCTAATCCCACAATCCAATAAATGTCGTAAGTTTTGCACATCAACCCAGGTGACTTTTTACACGACCACAACGCTTGTACATGTTTCTATTGTCAAAAATCAACGTTAAATTAAAGCTCCTACACTACTTTTCTTCGAACTTCACCTAAATTGCACATTTTCAACCTAACAAAAACCATCCTATCCTTATTAAATATGTCTATGATAAACTACCGTAAAGGTAATAGGCCATCCGACCCCAAAAGTTTCCACAAAATAATGAAATTTACGCTACAAAATGGGAGTAAAAGGAGCAACATGATTACCTGCAAAGAGCCGGGCAGGCGGTGCCAACACCCGCGTTTTGGGGCTAAATTTATGTGCCCGTGTAGTACAGTCTAACCCCTTAGAAAAACTTAAAGTTGATACTACAGTGCCAAACCTCGGAAATTTACAACAGAAAGAACATCAATAAAAATAAACAAATGTTATTACATTTCAAGGTCCTTGGCCCACATTTTCAATTATTAGAGCTAATACTGAACTACACGTACTAAATTAAATACCATTGCGTAATGTTTTCCGGACAACCAGTTATGAACAGAAACTAAGGACGACAAGGAAAGACACGAAACAGATTAAAACGGTATCATCGGATCCCCTACAATCATTATTGAGCTTTTAAGGAGAGCTGTGAGCGTGCTGTTGCCGTGATGTCAACGTCGAAAGAAACTGTTCATTTTACTTCCTAATAGAGATCCCGAAACTTCTCTGAAAAAATGCTGCTCGTTGGGTTGTTGAGATGTATTTACACAAGTAACGGATCACCTGCATGAAGGGAAATTTAGAAAAGCAAAGTATCAGCAATTCCAACAGATTTCTTTGGCACAAACCAATGTAATATTGAAGTTTTCTCCCTCGAAGAAAACATGTCAGCATAACAAAAACCCAAAAGAGCTAAAATACCTCTTTAATAACAATAGCCCCAAAATTAATGTTATTTTGAAAAATGAAGGAGCAACTCAACTATCATAAAACATCAAAAGAACCCTTTAATTTGGCTTCTGAGTTCAATAAAATGCCGAAGTTACCAAACATTGTCCACTCGACATGGCAACATTAATTTTCTTCATATAACGAAATCATGCATTTTAATACCCATTACCTGGAACCAGAAAGTAGTGCTACATATAGTACTTGCTGGATTTTACGTTACATCACTACAACCGGTTACGGAAAACTTATTATCTCTCCCTTTCTAAACTAGCTGACGGATGTTTATACATATAGAATTAAAACCCAAAATTCCCCTAGATTGACTACATAATTCAGCCCCAACCCCCGAACAAAAAAGACTTAATTTTGCACATTCTAGCGGTGTTTCATGTCAGTTTGTGCGTTGGCCGAGCAGGGTCTTTAATCTTTCGCGCCCAGGCAGAGCAGAACCTTCGTTCCTTGCATTTCGCCGTCGCCATCCTTAATATAAATTGTGTACACAGTGATCGGCTTGACGCACTCGGCTGGGATGGTAATCCCCTCAAAGAAGCTGTCCAGACACCTCCTTATTTTCAGCGGACCCTTGGAGTAAGTGCTCATGGCAGTCTCATATTCAGCGCACAAGCGAAATGGTTCCTGGTTTTCTGCGGAGGACCAATAATTCGTTAATTGTAATCAGAAATATAAGCCAAACATAGCAAGGGAGGATTCTTTCAACAGCTTCACGTTTTACCCTTGCGTGTTAAACATTCTCCGATCACTTGTGCAAAGTGCTGTCAGACTGGTGATTTTACTGACAAACTGATTTTACTGTTGAGCAGAAAAGTGCCCAGATGACTGTTCTTTAAAAGGCTTTTCTAGCATCTTACACCGCGTGGAGGAAGGTGAATGCTGGCCCCTCCCATCTCGGTCACCAGCGGAGTATCCAGTTTTTTGGGGGTGTGGTTAATTAAAAAACGAATGCAGTTTAGGGCTCATTTAACATGATGTTGAAGGGGAATATCAAAAGCCCGGTTACTTATACAGTCTGGACATCCTTGGCCTTGCTTTTATTTCGGGGAGTCGTTTTCTGAGGGTTTTGGTGCTAAAAACTGATTATTTTATTTCCTACTCATTTATGAATATTATTATAAGAAAAGAAAAAAAACCCCGTCATGCAGGGCAAGTTGCTCCCTGTCCCCCCACCTGCCCACTGGATACGCCATTTTCGGTCAACCTACGACCGATTTTATATAGACACTTGTACCAATTTACAAGGCTTTACATAATTCTAATGTTACAATCCAGTAGATCTAACGCATAATGACGTCACGCTTTGTTTGCTTTCTATATAAAGCTCATTTCATCCCTTTACAATCTTTACATCATGTCAAAGGTCTATTGGCTAATGTGTGCCTTGCAATTAGGAATTCACATAAAAAATACGTAAACCATTCCTTTCCCATTTTTCCCCCACATGTTTTGCATTTTTCGTCAAAATGGTTTAAATACAGGTTTCTAATATGGGAAAGATTTCGTTCGACATGATCGATGGGTTTTCGTAAAAGCAATAATGCAACGTTTCTTGTTGTAGTATGAGCGATTTGGCACGAAATTCCACAGGGTCGATTAAGAATAATCATCAAACAACAGAGGGAAGAAAACGGAAGATAGGCCTACTATCCAGGAAACTGCATAAATAGCTCTGCACCTTGAGTCATGTTCAGAAGCATGTGGCTCTGGCTCAATGCTGAGCTGGTGTCCAGGAGGAAATCGTAAGGGCTTTCCGTGAAAGTGAAATTATCTGCAAATTAAAAAATTGTCCTTACGTGACTTTCATATCTGAAAAGTTTAACGTAAATTTTATATACAGATCAGAGTATATATTATTCATAATGACTTATCTTTTACTTTGCACAGTTTTAGAATTAATTTAAATCAGGACAGATGTATGCTCTGTAACTTCAGGCCCAGACAGTTGACGTGGTGTGAGTTTGAGTTGACATGGAAAACAATGGAAAGCCGATAAAAAAACTGCTTAAATTGCTGTAACTCTGCAAAATTTGTAAATGTCAAAGTAGGTTAGGCTTACGATATCTTCTTTCGGTTTAAGAAAATGGAATAAAGAACGAATTGGAGCACAGCTGGGGGCAACGAGGCCATACCCCATAAGGGAAATTTTGTCTCTAGTTAAAAAAAAGCGATGTTAGTGAACGATTCGTTTTCCTTCCATTTCCAAAGCTCGTATATAGTTATTTAATTCAAACTATCTGAATTTATGCAAACATTTGCAAAGGTTTCCGTGTGTGCGTATTAATTTTTCTTACTGAAATAAAATCCACCGATTTAATTTATCGCTAGGTTTGCATTACTACTACTAATTATTATTATTAGTATAATTATTAATCAATCTGAATGAAACCAAGAATTCCTCAAAAGTGCCCTAATAGGCATGCACTGTACTTTATAAGCCTGAAGAAACCTGTAGAGAGAAGACAATGAAAAGCAGTAACAGCAGGGCTGAAGCATGGTGATGCTTCAGCCCGGCTTTAAATGAGACAAGTGTTTAAAATAATACATGTAAATTCACACAGCATCGCAGGGTTAAAGGATTTAATATTGTATTAATGTTTGTACTAGTCTTGACTCAAGTCATTCTTTCGCTGTACGGACTTAAATTCTCCGCTGCCAGCTCCCTATCTGCAAGCACAGATCATAGTTCTCTGCACATACATGTACGGTCCACGAACCCGACCGACTCTCGTAATGAACTGCCAGTTGCCCCGTGTAGTAAGGGAGAGCATGTGGCGGTCACCGGCTAGCTAACTGCATACAATGTCCACAGACCTGACTTTCCACACAATCCTGACTTACGGGCCACGACAGCCCTTTATTGGTGGATTGTATGCATACGTGCTGTACAAACATCCCAACATCGTACACCAAGACTATGCTTCTACGTGCGTAAAAACTACACATAGGCCTATACTTCTCCAATATAGCTTTCTACAGAATATGCATTTACAGTGTCTGGAGTCGATCAGCATGTTTAGTTGGTAGAGTCAAGTTATTCTAAGGATATCTCTGTCAATTTTTTTTTATCTTATGTTGGTAATGGTTCTTAAAAATAAATCATTGCCGGGCTATATTCAGTACCTCAGTTTTCAGGTTTCACGATTTTCACTGTCTGTGGGTGCCTCTTTACCCTGCAATTTATCCTGCCTTTATCAAAAATCTTCACACACCTGGGGACTGGGTCACCCAACTACAAGACGTTATACAACTCTTGCTTAAAAAATACATGTACATGCGAGTATACATACGTTGAACTGTCCCCTTTCTGTCCAATGTCATCTTGTAGGGTTTCACGCATACATTGGCGTCACATGCCATATACTCTACATACAAGCCCTGAGGAGAAGAATGAATAGCAACAATTATTAGACTCCATTCTATAATCCTAACTTTAACCTTAACTCTGATCCACAGCAAAAGATTCACCAAGTATTGAAGACGTACCCAGTCCGGGAATAAAACCGCTTGAATAAACTCGAACCTCTAAAGAAGACTTACGTTGCCCAAATTGTGCATTTAGACCATTTAAGACTCGTTTCGGCAATTGTAATGTTGATTACAATAACTTTACAGTAAATGCAATGCGTGTGTGGTCTCTGTTGGCATGCCAGGGTTTATCCACTTCGAACACGGGGCGAGGGTTCCACTCGTTTTCTCCTCAAAGACGCAATGTACATTGGGAATCTGCATCCTGGCATGAACAGAAAAAGGCCCCTTTTAGCTTGTAATAGTTGAGTTCTGAAGACAAATGAACCAGCGCTCGATCTGGATGCTTCCATATTTATTTGAACAGATAAAACAAAAAATAAAAACATGTTTACCTTAGCGGTGCTCTTTAACAGTTTACAAATCCTCAAAGTGTCTATTTTTCGAACACACGAGAGGATTTCGTGCAGGCAGTTGTATCTGCCCATTTTGCAAACCAACCCGTGAGGCACATTAATTCCATGACAAAACATTGATTGAAATGACATCATTTTCCCCACATTCAACGTTGAAGCAATGTGGTGTACCCATCTGGATGCTTCTCTCACATATCTGTCTTCTTTTCAAAGGGAAAACTGTTACCAGTTTCGAGTGAGTAGGATCCTGGCTTCCCTCTTTCCAGTTGCCACGCGCTCCGCTAGTCAGAAAAAAGCACGCCAAGATTATTCCCAAAATTGTGGCCATTTTCGACGAGATGGAGACCACACGTGTACATGTACTCTCCGCCGGGTACAAACAGTCAAGGTGCGGGCTACCGGTAGCTCCAGACGGAAAACTGTCTTAGAGTCTCCTCACTCCAGTGTGCTTCTGTTCAATCTAAATCGGGAGTCAATATGCATGAAATAAGCAATATCACCGGCGCAGGTTCATATAAACCATTCATGCATAAACTTTAGACACGCAGTTGTTTCGTGAGGGATTTGCATGACCATTTTGTCGGTACATGTGATTGTTGTTGTTGCCACCGGCGGGTGAACATTGTCGTAGAATTAGTGATGTGAGGTAGTTTTTGCTTGTTTGCGTATTTGCTTATTTGTTGAAGAGACGTTTTTCCTTTCCCATTCGAAACTTAATTAATACACCATGGAGACGACCAAAATTTCTCAAACAAAAGCTCAAGTCGCACATGCCATTGAATCCCAGCATAAGCGATTCCGTAATTCAGGTCCGCGATTTGGCCTTGTCTTTGTGTGGTACATAATTATGCCGGTGACTGGTTACTCTACCATCGTGTGGAATAACATGAATATAACAAGACTGGCTTGGTGCTCGAATTATTTGCCGTGAAATGCATGAGATGAGATGGAGACACACAAACACATGTAACCTCTGCCTAAGAAACAGTCAGGTTTGGGGCGACCGTCAGCTCCCGTCGGAAAACTGTCTTACAGAGCCTGAGTGTGCCTTTGTTCAATTAAAACTCGGAACAATTTGCATGAACCAGGCAAAAATACCGGCACAGGTTTCTATAATCCATTCATGCATGAACAATAGGCACGCAGTTGTTGTTACGTGATGAGGGGTTTGTATGACTGTTCGTCAAGCATAATTCGATTCCATAATACTGGTGTAACGGTGTCATTTTTCCGGCGTGCTCAGATTTCCGAGTATTATGCGAATACTGCTGAGCGACCCGAACGTATGCGCAGTGAATCCCGTTTTGGGTTGCTTTATTGGAGTGTCGAGTTCCTACACCACATGATCACGGCGTGAACATAGGGGG